CCCCGCCCCCAAAAATCAGTGCTAGGATTCTGGCTTCCAGTAAAGATGCAGTCCATTGTTTTGAACTAACCTGCTTGCTGATACTTTCGTAAACCTTTGAACAAAATATATATTAAAAACACGCAGCGCAACTGTTCAAAGACGTTGGAGAGCAACAAAAAAGCAGGCAAAATGGGAGGGTGCTGGCTGTTGAACGAAGGGAACAGACCCTTAACGCCACTTCTACAGAGCTGTTACTAAGTGTATTCCACGTCAGCGTGGTGGTGCGGGAGCATGAGTAGAGAGGCGCAGCCTAAGAGTGCCAAGAGCTAGAGTGTGAACTGAAAGAACGCCTAGAAACTGTGAGGGGAGAAATTACAAAAAGAGAGAGGCCCAGGGTAAATCCCAGATCCGGCACGTAGTTCAAACCAGCTGGAGTCTGAACGAGGCATGTGCAAACGTTAGGGCTCAAGAGGCCAGAGGGAAAGCAAAGACCATGATACAAGACCACCAGGAGCCCCCCTGGGACCAAAACTAAAGTGATAGAGACCCACCTTACTGAAACTACAGCCAAGGCCCCAGAAGCTGAAGGTGGCCTGGAAACAACTGAAATGGCCACGAAAACAAAAGTCAACAGACTTCTGAGGAAGACCAGGGGATCCAGAGTATGAGACGCCATCTTCAGAGTTGAGGGTGCAGTAACCTACTAGCCCTAGGACGAAAGAGGAAACGGACTCATAGTGCACAGGTAAACCAGTAACTCGCCTTTGAAGGAGAACAGAGCTCCTTGTTGGGCTAGTAAAGGTAAAGCACTATGGGGAAATACTGTTATAATTTTGTATTTGCAATATTTCTCATTGTAGCTGAAGGAATAAAATTAAGAGTCTCCAAAGCAGTTTCGAATGGAACAGCGAGACCTGCCACTTCAGATAATTTTGTGAGTACAGTTTATGGATGTTCAGTCTTGAAAGCTCTCAAACACTGTAATGTGAGAGCCATATTCATTGACTCAGACATGTTTTACTCAGGTTTTGGAGGAGGGAGATGTTTGGGGGGTATGAAAATATGTGTCCACTGGCAGTGCGAGCTTCTCAAGGGCTGCTCTGGAACCAGCATGAGGGTGCCCTCGGGCCTTGTTGGGGATACGTCATCTCAGGGCTTCCCCAGCCTCTGAATCGCCGTCTGCACTTTCAACAAGGCTCCGCACATCGTTCGTATGTGCATTGAAGATGGAGAAGCCCTTTTTTAGCAAAAGCTCATGGTAACTTTAAAAATTTTTTTGAACTGGTTTTAGAAGGTGCTTTATAGAACATGCTGTTGGGGAAAAGACTTGTAGTTGGCAGAATTACTATGAATGCTTTTAAAAATTTTTTTAATTATAGAAGTTTAAATACAAAAATACAGTGTCGAGATGAATTTTTAAATGCTTTTTACGTGAAATGTGGTTGTTACGAAGATAATGAAGCAAAACAGAAATATCTGTCATACAGTTCTATATTATGCTTTCATAGGTATTTTTTAACCTATGATCATTACCATGTACAGATTTATGTAAGTTTTGACAATAGTTTTTATCTGTTAGGTTGGCAAATCGTCTAATTTTAAATTTTATTCATGCAATACTAAAATGTCTCTTTTGAGTGATCTTATAGTAATTCAACTAAATTTTAAAATACGCAGCAATTATAATTACCTGGTGTTAAGCATTACTAAACATTCCGCTCCTTACAGATTTCCCCTCTGGTTATTTTAGGGCTCTTAGTTTAGAGTTCAGTATTTGCAAACCCATCAAAGGGAATACTTTATTTCTCTAAATTAAGTGCAATCAGTTCTTGATCAGAAATTGGGAGCCTGGGACCCATTCAGAGGACCAGAGTTAATACTGACTCGGTCATTGTCTCACGAGGTTAGTAAGGTGTAAACAATACTGGACCCAGAGCGCTCTAAGTAGGCAAATGGACCACAGAGAAACCTGTTCACTTGTTAGGCATCGTAAACCAACATATGCAGTTGGAGTTCTCTTTTCCTTGCTCAGGTGAGCTAACTACTGTGTCTCTCAGCAAGGGTCTCTAAATAGCACAGCAACTTGCCTGCTTTCCTTCGGGTGGATGAGCATACGTACAAGGGCTAAAATTAAAGAGGCTTTTCCAGAGTTAGTATATTTGTACCATCATTTTGAGATTGCCTTCCTATTGGAAACTGTAAGCTCATATAAAAACTTAAGAGGCATAAGAAATACAAAACTAAATACATTTACCATGGTCTCTCAGAACAAGAAAGACCACTTGTGCATTTAAAACTAAAGCCAAAAGGAAGAGTAGAAATCCAAAATCTCAAAACTAGCAACTTTTCAGGCTATATGTAAAGACTTAAAAAAAAAGTATGTTATACATTTGAATTTAAATGTTTGAATTTTACTTACATTTACTTTCTGCCTTCTGGTGTTAATAAGCAAATGCTAATACAGATATATATTTGCAGGATGAAGATTTGAAGTGGGTGGAAGAAAATATTCCTTCTTCGTTCACAGATGTGTAAATATCCTCTATTTAAGTTGGATTGGGGTGTGATTTAAAGAGAGTTCTCTTAACGGGTCATGTGCTTTTCAAACTTCATTATCTCTGGAAATTTTTGTAGCCCTCTATTACCTCTGAACGTCTCATTTATTTCATATGGAAGTGCAAAGCAAGCACAGCCCTGACCTACTTAGTCTCTTGCTCCTTCCTTTTTCACTGTGTAACAGCTATTTTAATAGCAGTGGACTATGACCAACTCAAGGCTCCCTGGTGGCCCAGTGGTTAAAGTGTTCGGCTGCTAATGGAAAGGTCAGAGGTTTGAGCCCAGCAGTAACTACTCTTGCTCTATTATGGCAAAACTTTTTTTAAAATTCATAACCAAAACAACACATATGATATGAAAGCTTTTGGAGGGAAAATAGGAGCATAGAAAAAACAGGAAGCCTCACTGTAAACTTTGGCCATTAAAATTATTCTTTAGCTATGTTCTCAACTCCGAAAGAATTCCTTGTTGGTGTTTGCACACTGGATAACACCTGCCCTCTTCTAATTCCTAATTAGATAGTTTCTTTGGGTACCAACCTCCATTGACACAGTGGCTGCTGCATCAGTGGGTTCAAATGTAGAAACAGTTTTGAGGATGGTACCAGGACCATGTGGTGTTTCGTTGTTGTGCAGAGGCCAGAGTCAACTCGATGGCACTAATAAATATAACAACAAGTGATCCAAAATCGATGGCGAGGAGGGTAGGAGGCCTAGTAAGGCGTGATCAAGGGCATTGTAACCGAGAGGAATTACTGAAACCCAAATGGAGGCTGAACATGATAGTGGGACAAGAAGAAAGTAGAAGGAAAGAACTAGGAGGCAAAGGGCATTTATAGAGGTCTGAATATAGGCATGTACATATGGAAATATATATATATGATGATGAAATAGATCTATGCATATATTTATAGGATTAGTATTAAGATAGCAGATGGACATTGGGCCTCTACTCAAGTACTCCCTCAATGCAAGAACACTTTGTATTATTAAACTGGCATTCCATGATGCTCACCTTCCCAACATGATCGCTGAAGACAAAGGTGGATGCATAAGCAAATGTGAAGAAAGCTGATGGTGCCCGACTGTCAAAAGATATAGCATATGTGGTCTTAAAGGCCTGAAGATAAACAAGCAGCCATCTAGCTGAGAAGCAACAAAGCCCACATGGAAGAAGCACACCAGCCTGTCCATGGGATCAGCTATCAGGCATCAAAGCACAGAACAGCGTATCATTGCAAATTGGGGCAGTGCAGTGTGGAGACCCAAAGCCCATCTGTAGGCAATTGGACATCCCCTTACAGAAGGGTCTCAGGGAGGAGACAACCCAGTTGGGGTGCAGTATAGCACCGGTGAAACATGCAACTTTCCTCTAGTTCTTTAATGTTTCCTCCCCCCACTATCATGATCCCAATTCTACCTCACAAATCTGGCTAGACTAGAGGATGTACACTGGTACAGATAAGAGCTGGAAACACACGGGAATCCAGGACAGATATACACCTCAGGACCAATAATGAGAGTAGCGATACCAGGAGGGATAGGGGAAGGTGGGGGGAAGGGGGAACCAATCATAATGATCTATATATAACCCCCTCCCTTGGGGGACAGACAACGGAAAAGTGGGTGAAGGGAGACATTGGACAGTGTAAGACATGAAAAATAATAATTTATTAATTGTCAAGGGTTTGTGAGGGCGGGGAATGAGCTGATATCAAGGGCTCAGGTGGAAAGAAAATGTTTTGGAAATGATGAGGGCGACAAATGTACAAATGTACTTGGCAGAATGGATGTGCGTATGGATTGTGATAAGAGTTGTACAACCCCCAATAAAATTATTTTAAAAACAAGAATAACAACAAAAACCCAAAACTACAACAGCATAGAGTGTGATCTCTCTTTTGCCTGAAGAATTTCCTTTGTTTCATATAGTAAAGGCACGTTGGTAATCACATAGATTTTTTTCTGGAAAGGTCTTTATTTCATCTTCAGTTTTTTAAAGGTATTTTTGTTGTAGGCAGGAATTCTTGGTTGACAATTGTTTTCGCTCAGCACTTCTAAAATTGCCACTCCATTGGCTTCTAGTTTGTATGGTTTCCAGCGTTGGGAGGGGGGCAGGGACTCTGCTTTAGTTCTTTTATCTTTGTTCCTCCAGGTGTTATGTGAGTGTTTTTGGGTTCTCCCCGGTGGCGTTGGACATGGGTCTCCGAGTCTTTCACTGTTAACTCGAGGATTGTAGGGGCATATGTGAGGAAGAGGAGAGGTTGATACCCATCGTTCACTTATTACAAATGCTGATTGAAAAATTCCTTTGGAATGTAAAGATTTAACGTTCATATCTGTTATTCTTAATGATTCGTGTGAAGTGAGTGAAGCTTTATGCTATTAAGACAGTGTCCAGGATTTGTGTTCACTTGTGACGGCTTTAACTCGACGAGGGATTTTGCACAATGTCACTCATAGGTGATCTGCAGTATGTCACAAGACTTGCAAGAGAAAACCATGGAAATGGAACCCAGCATTTGCAAGCATAGGAATATTGAGACAAGTGATGAATATTCGCATGATGTAGTGTATTACGATATCACCTCCAAACAAACTCACTGCCGTGAGTGACCCGAGAGGACACAACCCTGTTGCCCCTGTGGGTTTCTGAGGCGGCAAACCCTGACAGGAGCAGAAAGTCGGGCCTTTCCCCTATGGAGCGGCGGTCCATTTAAACTGCTGACCTGGAGGTTAGCATCCGCTAGATAGTATGATGGTGATAAAACATTCTGTATGGATTTTATTTCTGATATGCCATGCTGGTGAGATTAGGCAGGTTTACATCTATCCTTAAGCACTGAAGACATCTTAGTACGTTTACATATTTGTTTAGCTCTGAGGGAATTGCATTTGAGATTGCTACTTTTTAATCTTCTAAACAAGTGCTAAACCTCCAGCGTTTGTCTTCTGGGCCCTAAGCTTCCAGTTTCTTCTGTCCCCTAACGCAGGCTTCCCTGGACTTAGATTGTTTGACTCAATAGTGTCATTCCGAACCATCTGACGTGGCCCCTTCTCGCATGTAGTCTCTCCCAGTTCTCTTCTGCCTTCAGCACGGACTGCACCGTCGGGAGTGGTGTGTTGATGGGACTTTCGTGTTGTGACCTTAGCCTAACCCCTCAAAGCTCCATCACAGACTGGGGCTAGATTAAGTTTACGGACATTTTGTTTTCATCCACGTTAGCTTTTCTGAGAAAAGCTTCTGTTGTTTGCATCAGTCTCTGTCTACTGCTCTCCATTACGCAGACATATCCAGTCAGCGCTAATGGTGATAGAAGAGTAAATCAAATACTGGAGTCCATTAATGCCACTCTTCGTAATGTTTTCCTTCCTCTTAAGTTCTCAAAATCAGGTTTTCAAGTTAAATGACAGGTCACCACTTACATGTTTGGCTAACAATCCCAAACAAACAAAAATATCACGGGATTTGAAAATGATGATGCAGTTGGAGCCAGTTGTTGGGAATTGCTCATGTGCACATGTTAGCCGTTGAGGTCCCTCTTGTGTATTAGGATCTAGGATTGCTGGTCTTGGTTTGTTTTTTATTTCCATTTTGAAGTTTGAATATTTTATGTTTCAGTTAGTTTCACTGCCCAGTACAAGGGTAAGTCAAAAGGCATTGATACAAAGTCACAGAAACCTTTTTAAAACAAAAATACCAAAACATTATTTCTTGATTCCATCTAGGCCTGTCCATCTCTGAAGAGTGTTCCCATCTCTCTAACCCTTCCCAGTCAAATTCTGCACACTTCAAATTACACCACATCAAATCAGGAGTTTTGGCATACCCAGGGGACACTCAGAGGATTCTTGTTAGGTTTTGAGTTTGGGGGATGGAAAAGATTGGGCTATAGGATTGTTGGAGTGAAATGTCCCATGGCATTGTCATCGAGCAGCGCTTGCTATTGAAGAATGAGTTGGTGCATTTCCATAACGGGAAAAACCCTCGCTGCAACTTTCCTGGCTTGTTTTTTTTCTTAAAACCAATGCCTTTTTCAGGTTCCTTAAAACTTGGTATCATAGTAAGGCCCGGTGATCACCCTGTGTCCTTTAAGGAAGCGCATCAAGACTGCCCCTGGGGAATCCAAGAACTAGTCACTGACTGCGCTCACCGCTCTGCCTTGAATTTGATGGCACAGCAGATCACTTGGAAGCCACATTGTGATGGGACTTTCTGAGAGAAAGGCACCGATGATACTTAGGACAAACATTACCTGCAATAACTCTAATTGCAGAGACATGTTGGCATGCAGTCTGGATAAACTCGTGTACATACATGAACTGTTACCTTAGTGGCAATACTTTTTGACTTAGTTTGCCTAAAACACACATTCTAAAATGTACATAAATTCTCAATACGCACAGAGCCCAGTGAGTTAAAAATAGGAATACGGTGGCACCACGGGTACTCCACCGGAAACGAGCATCACTGGGCTCTTCAGCGCTTTTCAAGTCAGGACGTGCCCTCCTAAGACCCTGTACGTTAGATGTGGCTAATTTTAAAAGGGTCATTCCTTCGACCGTTCATTCCATTTTCTTTGCTGTCGTATTCTGTTGCATAAACATAACAGATTTACCCACATGGAGTTCTTTTCAGATACTGAAAGTAGTTCCACTGCCATTAAGCCCATTCCAATTCATAGCGATCTTCTATAGGGTTTTCAAGACTATAAATCTTTATAGGGGCCTCTAGCCTCATCTTTCCTGCTCAGAGCAGCTGGTGGGTTTGAACCACCAACCTTGCAGATATCAGTCCAGTGCCTACCCACAGTAAAAATAGTGTTGCTATAAAGCATTCCCATGTCTGTTGGTGAACCGAGGTATTCTGTGGGCTGTATGTATCTGGGAATGAGAATTGGTGGATCATGGGTCATGACCACTTTAATAGAAATGCTAAACTTACTATCATTGTAAATTTGTTTTCTCACCCCCTTTCATTTCAGAGCTCTTCCAGTGTTAGTGGATTCAGATGAGGTAAAAGATATATTTTCTTATTTCTTAGAGATGTGATTTTCAGAAGTAGAAATGTACTTCAGAAGGAAACTGAAAGTTACTTTTTTAAATGATTACAAGTTAAGCAGACAAACAGACACTATTGATTGATTTGTGGGTAATGTTTAAAGAAGCTTGATTCTCATTTATAAACAGTAAGATGAATGTTTATTGGTGTATATATAAGGGAAGGTTGTTTTGTGAGCTAATTTTCTAAGACCCTGTAAATATAGTTAAGAGTTTGGACTATTTTTAAATGACAGTTTGTCTAAATTAATCTCATACTTACAAATATTGTGCCGGGCTATTGAATAGTTTCCATTTGACTTTCACCCACTAAGGAAATTTGAATAGAGGCATGGATTTAGGAAAGCTTTTTGAAGAATTAAGAAGTAATGTGGGTCATCTGAACTTTGAAGGGTGGTCCAAGACAGGAGAAGGCTGCAGTGAGAGCATTAGAGACGGAGGCCAGGAGCGTCCGTTTCTGAAAAGGAGGAGGAAAGGGGCACGAGTGGCTGCTGAGGGGGGTTGTGTGCAGGCTGTAAATGCGGAGAGAAGCCACAGCCCCGCTCATTGAAGAGGAAGGGAAATGTGCGGGCATCAGGGTGGTAGTTGGACTGGGATAGGATGGAAAGGTTTGAGAAGGCTGTAGTCGTTTGTCATGTCCTTGCTACAAAAGCGCCGAGCTTTTGTATAGAAAGATAAGCTGTAGCATTACTTTAGAGAATTTAAAATAGTTACTTGATGTAAAACTGATTTACAGAATCAGGTAATAGGCACCAGAAGAACCCCTCAGAGATATATATGTATCTGTATATACATATATTGTTGAGAGCGGTGGGGTCGGAGCAGAGACCCCAAACCCATCTGAAGACAATGGTACATCCCCTCACAGAAGGGTTACAGGAAGGGTGCAGTATAGCACCGATGAAACACGCAATACTCCTCTGGTTCTTTGAGACTTCCTCAACTCCCCCCACCCACCATCATGACCCAGTCCTGCCTTGCAGTTCTGCCTAGACCAGAGCATGTACACTGGTACAGATAAGAGCTCACGACACGCAGAATCCAGGTCAGGTAAATTCCGCAGGAACAGAAATGGGAGTAGTGATACCAGGAAGGTAGGGGGAAGGTGAGGAGAGTAGGAGAGGAAGGGGGAAAGGGGGAACTGATCACAATGATTGACATATAACACACACACACAGGAACAACAGAAACCATGGGAGAAGGAAGACAGCAGTCAGTATATGACATGAAAAATAATAATTTTTAATCTGTCAAGGGGTCATGAGGGTGGGGGAGGGGAAGAGGAGCTGATACCAAGGACCCAAATAGAAAGTGAATGTTTAGAAAATGATGGCAACATATGTACAAATGTGCTTGAGACAACTGGTGTACGGAATGTTATAAGAGCTGGAAGAGCCCCCAATAAAATGATTCATAATCTCAAAGATACATTAATGGAATAAAAATGAAGCAGATCCCTACCAAAATTTCTTTGAGTTCTACCAAAGAAATCCATTTTAGCTCTCCTTGCCTCACTGGAAATTCTGAACCTAGTGTATTTTCTAGGTAGCAGGAAGCTGACGTTTTCTGAACTTCACAGGTAGATAGATAATTGTCTTATAGGAGGAGGTTTCAAAAAGTTCATGGAAAATTTTCATTATCATTTAATTATGTTTTCTACATATTTTTAAAGCCCTCTTGTATTATGAATATGAAAATTATGGTTTTTACTTTTTATTATTTTAGTACTTTAGAGTATAATATGGAATGATTGTTTTGGTTCTGAAGGCAACATCCACTGTTTGAATGCTTATCTTTTGTCCCCACCCCTTAGGAAATCATGACCAGATCTGAAATGGCGGAAAAACTGTTCTCTTCAGAAAAGATAATGTGATTGGGACGCACACGAGGGAAACCTGCATGCTGTTGGACACCATCTTTCCTGAAAACAGAGAGCTTTGCTTTCATACGGCATGACAAGCTCTCAGAGTACAGTCCGGAAAATCTATGTATTACAAGGAATCCGGGCACTAGGCGGGTCCTGCCAACCCTTTTAAAACTGACTTGTGGATGTCAGTTTAATAGCTGTTAAATTATCTGGATTTGGAAGTCATCTGAGAAAAGTATTATGATAAAGATACGTGCTGATTCCTCGATTTTCAACTATCTTGTTATCTGACATTTGATGTTTATGAGCATGTAAAAAAATCTACTTTCCCCTATCTTGCACATTTTCGGTATAACTTCTGGCAGTAGCGAGTGCTGAAGTGCAAGATGAAACTGACTCTGATGGTTAAGGTGATGTGTCACTCAGCCCAGACCGCGATTCTTAGTGGTTGGCCAGTTATGTAGTGCTGAATGATTGAATGACAACTCCTCTTGCACTTTGTAATCTCATATACTTGCCCTCCACTTTTGCAAAATGCCAATTTTCACATAATGACCTGGAACCTAACCGTGTTGATAAAGCGAGGAGTTGGTTCATGCATAAATGCCCTTCACTGATGGCTGACAGGCCTGTGGCTTGGGAAAATATGACAATTACTGTTCTTCTGTAACCTTTGAGATAATGTGACCCTTCTAAAGTGTGGTAGAACAGTGTCTCCATCTCCGGAGACATACTGCTAGATGCAGTAATACTTTTCTTTGGCTTTTATACTGATTTGATCCCAAGTAAAACTTGGTTAACATCAGAACATAAGCATGCTTATGTGTTCAGTTTTGCTTGTCTTCTGCACAAAGCCCTTGTTTGTAAATAACACCATGAACAGAGCAAATCATGGAGTTAAGCCTTCCCTGTCTGAGCTCAGGGAGACCCCCGGGTACCATCTTCCCGGCATAGAGAAGAGTCTGGAAGGTCAGTTCCAAAGATCTCTGTCATTGCTCCATCTCAGGCTGTGTGTTCATGTGCTGCTGCTCAATTTGCCTTGGGCAGGTGTGGGACACCTGGCCATATGGCTCTCCGGAACACTTCTTCCCTGGCAAGACAAAAGACTCGTGATCAGGGAACCTTGAGGGAGCTAGAACCTTATCTTTTACACGATCTGATATATTATGTTTCATAATAAATATATGTATATATATTTAAATGCACAGTTGATTGCTGTTAATCTTTCAGTTTCTTAACATTCGATCATGTGTTCTTTATTTTGTTAAGACATATAATGTATACTTAGAGAGTTTTGTTTTCATATCTTTTTTTAAAATAGTTTTCTAAACTTGAAAAGGACTTGAGTGCAGTCCGCTGCAGATGTGAATGTTTCGCCTTTTCGTGACCAAAGATGGGGGCGTGGGTGTGCTGCTCTACGGGAAGGAGCTGGTGAACTCAGAAGGGACTTCATGGAACTCTGAGTAAGAAGGCATTAAAATCTTAACTCATACAATATTTCTGTACAACAACACTTACCTTTTTTCACTGGAGCCACAAAGTACCCTCTACTTTTGCTTTCATACGCCTACCTTTGAATTTATTTCTCACTCACATTGCACAGGGCAGAGTGCAGAACACTTACGTCTGGTCGTTGCACTGTGCTGGTGGCAAGGCTATTGAGGGTGACATGGACTGTTACAAGAACACACAGATCTGTCTTGGATGAAGTGCAGCCACTCAGAAAGCTCCCGCGAGGCGAGGCGAGGACACTAAGACTTTGTCTCATGAACTGTGAACGTATGTTTTCAGGAGAGACCTATTATAGCTGAAGGACTTGCTGCTTGCTGGTGGAGTGGAGGGGCAGGGAAGAAGGGGAGGTGTCTGATGAGGTGGATCGGCACAGTGGCTGCAGCAGCTCTGAGGCCGGCACTTTTGATTTAGACCCAGGGTCGCTGTGAGTCAGAACCGGCCGGCAGCACCTAACAAGCAGTGATGTCTCTTGAAAGATATTTTCAAATACATTTTAACTAGGTGGGCGTTTAGGCAAGGGTACAGAGTTGGCAAACATTACTGAGGAAAGCATGGGTTTCAAGATCATTGCTCTGAGACATGGCCCCGAGGGAAAGAATGTGTGACAGTCTGGGCTTCATTGCCTAATTTCTGCCATACCACATTCCCACCCATCTGGTGTTGCCATATTTGGCTTTTCTGCCATGGTCGTGTTCCACGTCAGCAGTTGAGTGAGAGCAGGCTGTCACCCTACCATTTTTACACAGTCCTCCTGATGCTGGATGCCAGAGCCTGCCCTTCCGACCGGTGTGGTCTGTGCCAGCTTACAGGCATGGCATGGTTTTGTAGGCCGTAGTGTCTATGGGAGCAAATTGCCAGGTCTTCTGCCTCAGAGCTGCAGCTGCATTCAAACCACAGCAGGCTGTCAGTTATCGGCCAAGTGCTTAACCACTGCACCACCAGGGCTCCAGCTCACAGGAGCTGCAGGCTTGGTGAGAGGGGGGTGGGAGGTGATGATGTAAAATGTGATGAGGGAAAACTGGCTCACGAAAGCTCGCCTTCCTTCTACAGCCAGAACGATAGATCGCGCTGCTGACCCCAGCTACACGCTGAGGCAAAGTTTCCTCTGTAGAGAAAGCAGGATCTCTCTCAAGTAGCCACATCAGAAATGTTGGAATCTTTTTGGGTCATGTGCTGTGTCTGTCACTTCCATTGGTAAATTGTGCTGTCTGATGCTGCCCGATGAGCATCAGAGGGTCTCCAGGGCCCTAGTGGCGGGAGCCACTTTCAAGGTGATTCTAATCCGTAGGGACCCCTGATCACACAGCCCACCTTTGGGCCAGTAGTTGAGTGCTTTGCCACTTGTGCCTGGGGCCTGCGCAGCACTCAGAAATGGGCCTGGGCCGCAGCTGTGCTGCAAAGGAGGCTGCGTAGATGTTTTACCACAGGCTCTTGCATGACCCATCACCCCTGGTCACCAAGACCCCCCCCCCTCCCCATGGGGCCACAATGGCTTATCCTTAGGATGCCATCAAGATGGGCCTTCCTAGGATCGAAGCGATCTGGGAGAAAGAGTTGAATTATAGGGGTGTTTGCAGGTAAAGTGTGTATGTGTCCTTATGTAGTTCATAGTAGACTTCTGTATTGTGTGAAATTGCCTAAAAGGGAATTTTCACTATTAGACTTAAATGGGCATTTATAGGTCTGCTTTGAGATAGTTTATTTTGTTTACTTCAAAAGTAACAAAAAATAGGGGAATCTGATTTTTTTTTAATTAGCTCATATGGATATCATAACATTCTATAGTTCAATCACATCTATCAGTATTGTACAATTGTTACCACGATCAGTTTCAAAACATTTTCTTTCTTCTAGAACTCCTTGACATCAGTTCCCCTTTTTCCAGAAATCTGAATTTTTTAAGCCTGATGTTAAAAGGTTCCCATACTTTTCCTGAGAAGAAATACTACTTTTAAAAATCTTTCATATCCTCCAGAAAACACCGACATTTAACCCTATGAACAGTATATTATGTTTGGACAACTATAATGTCAAGACTGAAAGTATAGAAATGTACATATTAAGGTTAACTCTTTTTTTTCCTTAAGGAGTTTGAGACTTACAGTACACACACTAGGCTGTTTGTTTTATATGTCAGAGATGTCATGCTAGATTTTAGGTTACTGGTTCTGGTACTTGTGTCTCTTGGTATGATCGACAGCATGCGAAAAGCAATAAAAACACCAAGCCTTATACAAAAGAAATTTTCCTTATTGGGTCAGATGATGGTAAGTGACAGAGCCGGATTTCTAACGACATGCACATTATGATACAGGTGCTCAATATCACATTCAACTTGTCTAGGACTAGAAAAATGTTCATTACTTTGGGGAGAAAGCTTAGGGGGTTAAGAAGTTATATGTTCTGTTTGGGTTAAATTATGTAATTTGGAAGAGTATGGTTTAATTATAGGGCAGACCTATTTGAAGGATTTTTTGTTTGAAAAGTAGGTGTACTTTTGTGCCTTAATATTTGTTCTCACTTATAATAAAATTCTTTCTGAAATTTTGGATGATCGATTCTTGGTAATGTTAATGCTAGATTGTGTAAATCTATAGGAAATGCAGACCAATAGGTAGCAGAAGGACAAGAACGAAATGCAGAGGAGGCCAAACTAATAGCAGACATGGAAGAGTGTTCAACAACAGTATGTAACTAAATTGTCAAAGGACATGAACGTACACGTATAGCAGCACACAGACATGACTGCTGGTAGTGGTGGTAATGTAATCCAAACATCGATATGGAAAGAAGTTAATATGTTTATACCCTCTCATTCGTGGTTTTTCAAATGATCCAAATTCAGAATAAGACTTCTGTATATTAAAAAATGTTTATTAGAACATTATTTGAAGTAGAGGCAAAATTAGGAAAATAGTTAATGTCAGCAACAGAACAGTTGAACTGTGGTCTAACCAGCTGCTTTATGGAATATCGTGAAGCCATGACGGAGTCCTGGTGGTGCAGTGGTGAGTACCCGACTCTTAGGGACGGGTTAGACCCTTAAGTAGTTCCAACTCCCCAGAGTTCCACAGGGATGTACAGCCTTGCGTACCCCTACCAGGGCAGGACTACTACGTCCTGTGAGTTGGAACTAACTTGCGGTTGTGGGCTGGGTGTTTTGTTTGGTGCAGCAATTGTACAGATGTATAATAGCAGTACTTGATACCAGACATAGACTTCAGCACGTGAGCTTTCAGCTCTGTGAAAACAGAATTGCATGGGCGTGCACTTATGGTTAGTGATGTTTGGCTTAAGTGGGCTGGGTCACAAGTGGATTCCAGTGGGTTAAGACAAGTTTATCTCTTGTTCGTGGGACAGCTCTTCGGTAGGTGTTTAGGATGGCCTCCCACACAACCCTCCTCGGGACCACGCCCAACATCCCCTGGGCCCTTGCTAGATACACCCACCAAAGGTGGTGGTGGTGGTAGTAGTATAGCCAGACTTGCAAGCGGAGTACATCGTTACCACACTGGAGTCCATTGGCGTGACAATACCTAGCTGCTGGTCAATAACCACATGCCTGCCTACCTTTCTATGAAAGGAAAGGGCAGATTTTTGACTGGCCAGCCAATGGCCACAGATTATTTGCAGACAATGGATTTTGTGGGACTCAACCCTCTACTCCCTTATCTATCCCCCCATGTTTTCTGTGATTCAAATTTGAAGCATAAATTATGTTAAAAATTATAGTCCCCTAACTAGCCTAAAATCTAGCAATTAGTGTCTCAGGCACAGCTTATTCTATTAATAAAATCTGCCCTTCTGTAGGTAAGTAGAATTTGGAAGGTTTTCTTCATGGGCGTTCCCCCAGCCTGGAGAGGCCGGTGTGGGCTCGTCGGCTCACGTAGTAACAGTGGTGATACTTTAGGGGTCGTCAGTGCATCAGCTTGACTCGACGGCAGTGGGGTTTCGCGGTTACCAACACTCAGGGTACTAGGCTTCGTCAACCATTTTCTTTTCGCAATAGCTAATGACTTACCCCTGTCCTTGAAGTGATGGCCGCTCAGGGCCGCCTCCTGTGAGAGGCCGGACACCTGCTCCCTGGGCTTGTCGGTGCTGGCTTTCCTGCAGGAGATTGCCAGACTTTGCTTCCAGGTGCCTCCAACCCTTTCATTAGCACCTGACCACGTCGGACATTTGTACCACCCAGGGACTCCAGTCAACAAGGTGACAAAACAACAAAAACCAGCTCGTGCCCATGGAGACGATTCTCATTCGTGGTAACCCTATAGGGCGGGGTCGAGCTGCCCCTTTGGTTTTCTGAGGCCATAAGTGTATGGGAGCACAACGTCTCATCTTTCTTCCTGGGAGTGGCTGGTGGGTTTGCACTGCTGGCCTTGGGGTCTGCAGCCCAGCGTGTAGCCAGTATGCCACCAGGCACTTTATGTCCCCGTTTATCAATGAGGAAACAGACATGGCGGTCTTAAACAACTTCCCAAAGGGCACTGTCAAGTAAGTCATGAAACATAATGCTGGTGGGTCAGTCCTTTGCTAGGAAGAGGTGGGCTGTCATTAACAAACACATGTTTGGTTGTTAGAGGGTGAGGGCGGGAATGTATCCAAGTGCCTAGTTCTCGGCGTTACACGGCAACTAAGGTTATAGAAAACTGCAACCGTGGTTGTCAACACAAACTCCCTGTGAGCGTCAAACATTCTAGGATGGATTTATTCACTTGGAAATGAAGTTTCCCAGAGAAGTTGGAGGCTTACATATGGTGGGTTTACTGCCAAATTCTTCTTATGGGGTAGATTTCAAGTGTAAATAGTTTTGTTTTTTAACAGTTTTATTGACACTTCCTCCACATGTCATATAATTCAATAATTCAGTCATATCAAGAATTGTACAGTTATCACCACATTCAATTCTAGGACATTTTCTTCTCCCTTGTATTCACTATCATTCATGTAAATATTTTCTCTTAATTGTGGCAAAAATATACACA